TTTGATTCAAGTGGGTTATGAACTCCCATTTTTACCCCGTATACAGATTGCAGAATCACATCAGTTACACATCCACTGATTTACATATTGCCGTACTAGTGTCTGTTGTATTCTGCTGCCTTTCCTATCCTCTACTATCCCCCCTCCCCTCCCCTCCCCTCCTGGTTTATTTTAAATGAACTGATCCATGTTTTCATTTAGTAGATGTATGGTTTACTATATGCCTATATTATCAATAGCTGTATGTACAACCCTATCAATATCTTCACACATACATTATATAAATAGTCATCCCTTGGTATCCATAGGGCGTTGGTTTCAGAACACCTGTAGGTATCAAAACCCGCAGTTGCTCAAGTTCCTTACATAAAGTGGTGTAGTATTTTCATAAAACCTATGCATATTCTCCCAGGAACTTTCAGTCATCTCTACGTTAGTTGTAATAACTAATACAATGTAAATGCTATGCAAATAGTATCTGACTGTTTTGTTTAGGGAATAATGACAAGAGAAAACAGTCTGTACATGTTTAAGATAGATGCAATTTTTTTTTTAAAAAATTGATCTATGGTTGGTTGAATCCTTGGATGAGGAACTCATGGATAGGGAGGGTATTTTAGTTAGCTTTGTCATCACTGTGACCAAAAAACCTGACAAGAACAACTTAGAGGAGGAAAAGTTTATTTGGGGGCTCAACATTTCCGAGGTCTAAGTCCAGACACGGCTGATTCTGTTGCTCTGGGCCCGTGGTGCAGCACCTCATGGTGGAGGGGAAGGAGGAGAAAAGCAGCTCAGAACATGACGACCAGGAAGCAGAGCAGGGCTCTGCCCACCAGGGGCAAATATATACCTCCAAAGCACAACGCCCAGTGACCTACCTCCTCCAAACACACCCTCCCTGCCTACAGTCACCACCCAGTCAGTCCAGTCTGATGGATTAATGCACTGATTAGGGGAAGGCTCTCATAGCCCAATCATTTCACCTGTAAACTTTGACACTTGAGCTTCTGGGAGACACCTCATATGTAACCCATAACAGAGGGCTGATTATAAACATATATACCTTTAAATACTTACGTAAATGTATAAAAATATGTAGAGATATGTCTTTGATTCAATAAATAGTTCCTGAAAGGAGCAAATGAATGTCTATTAAATAAGTTCTTTTCTGAATATAGGAATCTTGAAAGCAATGATGGGCAGCATCCTACTTCTTTAACGTGACCTCTAGAGTGTGCGCTGGACTGCTGTAGAATGGCGAGTCCTGGGTCAGGCAGGGCCCCCTGGCTTGGGCCTCTTCCTTCGACACTTAATAGCTATACAATGCCCACGCATCAGTTCTGGTCCTGCTTCCTTGCCTGCCAGGTCCCTAGCTGAGCAGCAAATGAATAAAGACCATTCATAATTGTGGAAGACCGTCTGCATGAGGCGACTGCAGTTTGCAAAGGTGGGAACTCTGTCTTTCCTACCCCTAGTTGGCTGCTGCGGGCCAGACTCAGCCAAGGAAACTGACACCGATTTGGCCTCTCAGCTTGCCTTCTGAGCTGGAGAGTTTGATTTGACCCAGAAAGAGGGTGCTTTCCCTTTTCTCTCTTCTGAAAGCTGCGTAACAAGAGATCCCTGGTTTTATGATGTGTGTTGCTTTTATGACTAGACTTTGTAGAATGGATGGATCACATTATGGACTCTCCTTCACTCATGCGGAGTAAATAAAGCACCAAGAGGACAGAGCAGGGAGACTGATATTATGGGTGATAACCATGTGCTCTAGAGAAGTGATGTGGAGGGGATGGGAGACGGAGCACACACCCTCTGATGAGGGGACTGACACAGGCTGCTGCCTTTCTACTGCGGACTTCCAGGACAGCCAAGCCGATGAAAAATAATCCACCAGAAGATAACTTCCATTAAAGTCTTAACATCCGCTTAGCTAAACCAGCTTCTTGGAACGTTTTACTACCATATTTGCCATGAGCGTGAGCTGGCTTTCAGAGATCTGAAGTTACATAAATATTTGGACCAAGTCAGGAATTCTGATTTGAGCCTTTCAAAGAAGATATCTAATTAAAAATAGAAAGCAGAGGGGGAAATTTTGAGTTGTTTGACGAGGTCAGCAAATCTATTAAGAGGTACATTAAGCCATGCCATGGTCTCTGGTTTCATGGGGCATAGTATTGGCATCCTGGGAGCCATCGCTGATGTATCCTTTGGGACTGTAGACTTCTTCCTGGGGTGGATGGCTGTATTTTAAAGCTGTGACTTTTGGTGTGACCCTTTCAGAGGAATCTGCCTCTATGACGACCTTGGCTTTGCATAGCACAAGGGGGAAAGAAATTCCTTTCTGACCTTCCTGCTTCCTTTTATGGTATTACTGTCCACCCGCTTCGGCAGTTTAGAAAAACACATCCTCTTTTAGCCCCTCTGTGTCCTTGTCGCTTCTTTCCAATCAATAAGCCAAGTTTTTTTTTTTTTTTCAATTCTGCTTTGTAGACTTCTCCTGAACTTGTCTGTGTCTCCTGAGACCCACGCCCCTGTGTGGACTGGGGTCCTGGCCCACTCACTTGTTCTATCATAGCCTGGTGTCCTTGGCTCCAGCCTTTCCCTGAGGCCTCTCTACCCTGCTGCCTGTAGGGTCTTTGTCATTATTATTAAAAGAAAGAGGTTGGTTTTGTTTATGGTTCTGGAGGCTGGGAAGTCTAGTAGTAAGGACAGAAGGGTGAGCCTCGGTGGGGTCTTTCTAAATCACAGACAAATGTAGCCACTCCCGCTTGTTGATTAAGACCCTTTAGTGGTGCTGCCAACAGGGTCAAATCCAGATTCTTCAGACCAATGTGCCAGTCCCTCCATCATCTGCCTTCTGCCCACTCTGAAAACCTCTGTTGAGACACCCTTTACCCTTCTGATTGGTCAACTCTGCCTGAACTGTCAACATTCAGGCTACTTGTAATCTCAGCCATCGAGTCTCTGCAGCCCGGAATCTCTGCTCTTTTCTCAATGATTCCAAGGAAGCTTGAGCCACTTCTGGTATAACCCTTCTGATACTGGATTATTGGATCATAATAAGGGAGAAATGGGGCAGAGGAATCTATGTAGTAGAGAGAACATGGGCTTTGAAGTTAATTCAACCTGGGCTTAAATCTTGGGTTTAATATTTACCTATTGTGTAATCTTGGACTCAAACTTGGACCCAAATCTTGGACTCTGCATAATCATTTTTTTATACACTCTGTTACAGTCTTGGAGGGGTTAAGTGACACATGTGAGCCAGGCATCTAAGTACCTGGTGGGACTGAGTACGGTAAAGTCTCCTATCTTTTTATCTGTACCCTCTGTTCTGAGGAAGTATCAGTATATTGAGTGATGGCAAAACCTATTATTTTCTCTTGGAGAAATGGATCTGGTACATCCTGGTTAGTGTCAGAACTGAAAACAGGCTGTGCATTCAGCCAATGTAGACTATCTGTGGAGAGGTAATCATAGATTAGGGCTGTGTGGGAGACTGTGAGGGGGGGGAGATGGGGGAAGAGTGTGTTTGTGTCAGGAAACTGATAGTGCAATTAAATTAAAAAGGTTTTCCTAAGTCAGCTTCCTTCTATGTGGAGGTACCTGAAATACCATCCTATGAAGTGTAATAGTATCTGCAAGATATATGGTACTTAAAGATAGGGAGATAATTATATCCTCTTGATTGTCCATCCCAAACATAGGGAATGGGGCTCTCTTAAAGGAATGACATTGGTGCATAAAGGGAAACCCACATCCTTTGTAAGAGCTGAGCTTAGCAGAGCCCTCCTGGGTGGGCTGGGGCCACGGTGTGGAGAAGAGCAGAGTGCTGTTACTGTGGGTGCATGACTGAGCCCTGGGGACCAGGAGATATGAGCTGTAAGCCTGGCAGCAGCTAGCCTATGGTGTCGGATGGGTTGAGACCATGAAGATGCTTATACTGTGTAAGTGATCTAAAGTGCATTTTTTGGAGGGTGGGTACAAGAGGAGGAGGTGAAGTTTGAATGCTTAAAAAATAGAAAAATAGGAATTAGTTTTCATAAAAATTATTTTGCATATGGTGTTTCCATTCCTAGCTTTTTGAGGAATCTCTATACTGTTTTCCAGAGTGGTTGTGCTGATTTGCAGTCCCACCAACAATATATGAGTATATTTTTTAAAGAAAATATGATAAACATATACACACAATGGAGTTTTACTCATCCATAAAGAAGAATGAAATTATGGCATTTGGTGGTGAATGGATAGAACTGGAGAGAACATCAGTCAAGTGAAATAAGCCAGACTCACAAAGTCAAGGGTTGAATTTTTTTCTCATATGCTGAAGCTAGACAAAAAAAAAAAAAGAAAAGAAAAGAAAAAGAAAAAGAAAAGTGTGTGTGTGTAATCTTATAAAAACAGAAGAGAGATCAAAGGAGTAGAGGAAAAGGGTTGAGGGGAAGGAGGAGGGTTGGGAAAAGGGAGGAATGGAGGAATAAAATTGGCCAAAATATTCTGTGTAATATTTGAATATAACAAGTTAATCTCACTTTTATGTACATCTGTAAAGCACTAATTAAAAAAAAACCTATAAATAAACAGAAGGAAGAGCAAAGGAAAAGGAATAGAGGGAGGGAGGAGGGGAAGGAAAGGGGAGTACTAGGGACTGAATTGGAACAAAGTGTATTTCATGCTTGTGTGATTATGTCAAAAGAAACCCCAATATTATGTATAACTATAATTCACTGAAACTCCATATTATGTATAACTGTAATGCACTAATAAAAATTTTTTGTTGCAGTCTTTCCTAAAAAGCAGATTTATAAATTCCAGGGTTTTTTTTTTTTTTTTTTTGGTCTTGGTTTTCTTTTCATCAGAATGCGTAATCCTGTGTTCCTCTTTGCTGCATTTCCTGCTGTGTTTTTGGTGTAGCCCATCACCCTGGAAAGGGCAGATTAAAAATAAGCCTGGCAAGCACAGGGGGACTCCTTGCTAATGCCATCCTGTGCTCCTTCCAGGTGCCTCGTGATCGTCCTGGTCCCCCTTCCCAGCCAGCTCTCAACTTCCTGGATCCATAATGGTGTTTGGTGAGTTTTTCCATCGCCCTGGACAAGACGAGGAACTTGTCAACTTGAACGTGGGGGGCTTTAAGCAGTCTGTTGACCAGAGCACGCTCCTGAGGTTCCCTCACACCAGACTGGGGAAGCTGCTCACCTGCCACTCCGAGGAGGCCATCCTGGAACTGTGTGATGATTACAGCGTGGCCGATAAAGAGTACTATTTTGATCGGAACCCCTCCTTGTTCAGATATGTCTTGAATTTTTACTACACGGGGAAGCTGCACGTCATGGAGGAGCTGTGTGTGTTCTCCTTCTGCCAGGAGATCGAGTACTGGGGCATCAACGAGCTCTTCATTGACTCCTGTTGCAGTGGTCGCTACCAGGAACGCAAGGAGGAAAACCACGAGAAGGACTGGGACCAGAAAAGCAACGAGGTGAGTACCGACTCCTCATTTGAAGAGTCCTCTCTGTTTGAGAAAGAGCTGGAGAAGTTTGACCAGCTGCGGTTCGGTCAGCTCCGGAAGAAAATCTGGATTCGAATGGAAAACCCTGGGTACTGCCTGTCTGCCAAGCTGATTGCCATCTCCTCCTTGAGCGTGGTGCTGGCCTCCATAGTGGCCATGTGTGTCCACAGCATGTCGGAGTTCCAGAATGAGGACGGGGAGGTGGACGACCCTGTGCTGGAGGGTGTGGAGATCGCCTGTATTGCTTGGTTCACTGGGGAGCTTGCCATCCGGCTGGTTGCTGCTCCCTGTCAAAAGAAATTCTGGAAGAATCCTCTGAACATAATTGACTTTGTCTCCATTATTCCTTTCTATGCCACATTGGCGGTAGACACCAAGGAAGAAGAGAGCGAGGACATTGAGAACATGGGCAAGGTGGTCCAGATCCTTCGCCTTATGAGGATTTTCCGAATTCTGAAGCTGGCCCGGCACTCCGTAGGACTTCGGTCTCTGGGGGCCACGCTGAGACACAGCTACCATGAAGTTGGGCTGCTGCTTCTCTTCCTGTCTGTCGGCATCTCCATCTTCTCCGTGCTTATCTACTCTGTGGAGAAAGATGACCACACATCCAGCCTCACCAGCATCCCCGTCTGCTGGTGGTGGGCCACCATCAGCATGACCACCGTGGGCTATGGAGACACCCATCCTGTCACCTTGGCCGGGAAGATTATCGCCAGCACATGCATCATCTGCGGCATATTGGTGGTGGCCCTTCCTATCACCATCATCTTCAACAAGTTTTCCAAGTACTACCAGAAGCAAAAGGACATTGATGTGGACCAGTGCAGTGAGGACCCACCAGAGAAGTGTCATGAGCTACCTTACTTTAACATTAGGGACATTTATGCACAGCGGGTGCATGCCTTCATTACCAGTCTCTCTTCCGTGGGCATTGTGGTGAGCGATCCCGATTCCACAGACGCTTCGAGCATCGAAGACAATGAGGATGTTTATAACACCGCATCCTTGGAGAATTGCACAGCAAAATGAGCAGGGACATTTGTGCCTGTATCTTGTGCCCCTTCCTGACATTAGGTTAACACAGCTTTATAAACCTTAATGGGTTTGTTAAATTCATTTAATTCTCAGGGCGTACCTTTTAGCCATAGTTGGACATTCATTGCTGAATTCTGAAATGATAGAATTATCTTTATTTTTCTCAGTGAGGTCAATGAAATGCCTCGTTCTGAAATTTATTTTTTACAAGAGAGAGTTGTGATATGGTTTTGGAAAAAAAAACAAAAACAAAGTAAATGATATTGGGTGGGAGTTTTGTTCCGGCTTATGCATCATCCTGTATTTGCCATTTACTCACATTGAGCTAACTGTAAATTACTGACAAGTAGACTCCGAGGTCCAGCTGATGAAGACTACATGCATGTAAGATCCACAAAATGAGACAATGCATGTAAATCCATGTTTATGTCCTAGACATGGAGATTAGGAGCCTAATAAACTTCCTAATTCAGTATGGAGAATGTCTTGTTTGCATGTTTTTATGTCGAGTAAGTACATTTCAGTATGTCTAAAATTAGAAAAGTTTTTTTGTTTTTTTTTTTCAAATATCAAGAGTGCTTTCTTTATGTATCTGAATTTTGGACACCTACCAATGATATGCTAGTTCAGTTGACTCTTGGCAGGTAGAAGAACAGGTTCAAGATTAAGCCATCCTGTAGGCCAAGTAAACATGCAGGTATTCAGGACATGGGAATGAATTATTTACCCCCTACAGGTACATTTCCAGTATATATTTTGAATTTTACAATAATGTCTACTGCTAGGATGAACCCTCATTACCTGAAAATTATGTAGAGAAGAGTAAACCTACACGCTCACAGGCAGAGACACATTCAGGGAGTGGAAGGAAGGGGAAGTGTTCCACAAAGACGCAGATGTGATTCATTATGGCCACAAGAACAAAACCTAAATCACTGAAAGGATCTAGCTATCCCAATGGCTGGACAACGTTTACAAATAGTGGCAGAGAAGGCAATCACTGCTTCTACCTAGGAGTCCCTCACTGTGAAAGAAGAAACATGTGACAATTGTCAGAGAAGGGACAGAGCAATGCTATCCTGCATGGAGAGAATTTAGCTCAAGTCCTGATTCTGGAGATGAACAGCGACACCGTTCTTTCCCTGAGCTCTTGAAAATGGAGGAGCCATATGGACTCATTATCCAACTTTTATGTTTGCAGATGCATGTCTCTGAGAAAGGGGTGTTGTTTGCAGGTTCCTAGTACCTCTTCAACTCATCCCTCCTCTTGTGTGTCTGTAACTCCTGAGATGGATATAACGAAACAGGGTTCATGGTCACTTCAAATCTGCAGGTTATTTACACACTGTGTGTATGTCATTCCCTGCCCATTAAAAAAAAAAAATCTGGGATGGGGGTTGAGGCTCAGTGGCAGAGCACTTGCCTAGCATGTATGAGGCACTGGGTTCGATCCTTAGCACCACAGATAAATAAATAAAAAAGACAGATACATCAACAACTAAAAAAATATTTTTTTAAAAATCCCTCTTATCACCCCAGATGCCTTCTTGATAGTGACACAGATGTAGTTTTGAGGCCTAGCAGTAAAATGTGGGATCCTGTTATTTTAAGGATTACCTGATGAGTTGTGTAGCAACTAATACCGCTTGCTTGGTAACAGCAGTAGTAGCAGTAACAGCAGCAGCAATATACTAATCATAAAAATAGACTATTTAAGCAAGTGCTTTATGTACCCTTATAATCTCATTTATTCCTTACAGCATCCCTAGCAGCAAGTGTTTATTACTGTCTTCATTTCATGATGAAGAAACGGAGGTTGACAAGGAAAGAAAGCAGCTTGTGGAAGTTCACACAGTGAGTGTTGCAGTGGGGTCCTGAAACCAGTCAGAGCCCAGAGCCCAGGCTTGGAACTGCTCTTGCCCTGTGTGTTAGGGAGCAGGGTCAAGCAAATGGCAGATTAAAGGAACAAGTCTCCTCTGTAAAGACCTGGACCTGCAAGCACTGTCATGGCTTGATTTTTCCAATATGTGAATCAAAAGAATAGAAATGCTGGCTTGTCTACCTTTCCTTTCCTGATCTAGAGATCAGACACTTTATTTATAGAGACAGAGGTTTTTTTTTTTTTTCCTTCAAAAAGTTCAATAAACTTGATGAGAGCAAGACCAAGTGAGAGAGAAAAGCACAATAAGCAATACCAAATATAAAAGACATCTCACCAGGTCCTAAGGGATTACAATAACGAAGTACTGTGTATCTTCTTGCAAGGATACATATTTTTTATATGTTATATAAAAAAACACTTAGCTCAATGACAAAATAGATGAAAAACAAATACTCAAAATTCATACAAGCGAAAAATCTGAATAGCTGTATACATGTGATAGTAGCAGAGTTTTCTAGAATGCTGAGCAGACTGAGTGAAGGCCCTTCATTGAGAACTCTGAGTGGGAAACCTGTGGTGGTCCTGTAAGAATTCAGGTGTCTCAGCTGCTGGGCCCTGATTGGAGCTGCCACAGTTGGCCCTGTACAGCAGGTGTGTTTCTGCCTGTGTGATGTTAATTTCCAGAGCAGCTTGCCAGGTGGATGTGGCTTCCCTCTGGGCTTGGCCAGCTTCTGTCTCCCTCCCAGCGCCTTCTTGACCCAGTCCCTCCTGTGCTCTTTAGATGATATCCATGCAGAACCACGAGGCTCTGGAAACAAATCGGGAGTACTCATGTTTATCTGGGCCTCTCTTGGCTTTTCCACAATCCACGCAGCCCTCCTCTTGTTTACTCCCACCTGGAGACAGGGTGGGTCCCTTCTTTTGGGAAGAGCCAAGTCAGTGACTCATTGCCTTCTCTGCAGGGATGCTGGTGAGGGCCTGGGGCTCAAGTGGGCGGGGAGGAAGCCAGGCACCCTGGAGCAACCTTGGGCACTGCCTGTTTCTGCATTGCAGGGTCCTGGGCATTGGGTACATTTGAGTAGGACAACATCAGGGAGATTTATCTTACAGTTCTTTAAATTCTTTGTTCCTATCCTGCAAATTCTATCTGTCCTTCCGGTTCCTGAGACTTGTTTTACCATTGTCAGCTGCTGTTCTGTAGGGTTCGGAAGGTCATGGAATCAAGGACCCAATCCAAAGTGTAGATCTTCTCCCTCCCTGTCCTTCACAGGGGCCATCATTTTAGCTTCCTCTTGTTTTTTGTCTGTATTTCCCGAGGGCTCACTCTAAGGTAAGTTCAGGTGGGCATTGGGAATACCATGAGATTATTCTTGCCTTCAGGCCTCTTTAGGCTAACAGGGAACAGACAAGTCAATGGTGTGTGTGTGTGTGTATGAGGCCCAGGAAGGCTTCCTGGAGAAAGAGACCCAGTGCTGGGCCTGGTGAGTTCACCTCATCACTGGGGAGGAAGGCTCCACTGATCCTGGGCAGGTGGCCTCTGTTGCCTGGCAGACTCCACGGCCCAGCCAGATGCACTGCTGACCTTTGCCTCTGTGGCATCTCTTTTCTCCCCCTTTGCTGATCATCCTGCTTTTAGTGAAAGGATCCTTTATAAATGCTGATTCCCTCTTTTACCTGTGGAGATGTAGATGTGTGGATGGATACTCTTTGTGATTTTGTTTGCTCTTCCTATTTTTTTTTTTAAACCGGTAATATTTGGCCTCTGTTATGGTTAGGATCTGGAATGTCCCTCAGGTCTGTTGTGTTCAGAGGTGGGGCTTTGGGGGAAGTGATTGGATCCTGTGGGCTCTGACCTTACCAGTGATGGCTGGATGGACCACCTGAGGTGGAACTGAGAGAGAGGAAGTGGGTGGGGGGTGCACCCCAAGGTTTATCCACTCCCTGCCCCCCCTCACTGCCCCCCCACCTCCTCCACTTCCTGGCTGCCATTAACTGAGTTGCTTTCCTCCACTACACCTTCTGCCATGTTTCTGCCTTGGACAAAATATTGGAAACTATGCACCAAACCAAAACTTTCCTCCTCCAACCTGTTTTCCTTAGATATTTGTCACAGCAACAAGAAGGTGACTAACACAGATCCTCAGTTGCTTCTGTGCATGCCTGAGTTCTTCCCTGTGTGTTAATTTGGGGAGGGGGTACTTGCTCTTCTCCCTGTCTCGAGGGTCTTGAGGCCTCTACACTGTGAGACCCCTGTTCTATTTTATAGGGGGTGATTTCCATTACTGGAGAAGCTTTTACTAACATTCAGAAATGAGTGTTTTGCCAATATCTATCATTCTTGATCTAGACTAACAGCAGTTTCAATGTGGTTCAATTTAAGTGTTTGCTTCATGTTAGCAAAAAAGTGTTTCTCAAGTTCTTAGACAAATTTGTGAAGTCTGGTTTAAGGACCACATGGGTCTGGAGTGATGGCGCATGCCTGTAATCCCAGTGGCTGTGGAGGCTGAGGCAGGAGGATCATGAGTTCAAGGCCAGCTTCTGCATAAGTGAGGTGCTAAGCAACTCAGTGAGACCCTGTCTCTAAATAAAATACAAAACAGGGTTGGGGATGTGGCTCAGTGGTTGAGTGCCCCTGAGTTCAATCCCTGGTAAACACCCCCTCCCCAAATAAAAGGATGACCTGGGCCCAGGGAGCTTGGATGAAGGGTGCAGCTCCCTAGCTGTATGAGCCGGAGGCCAGCAGCCCCTCGCAGAGCTTGTGTTCTCAGACTGAATGTGAGGGGAATAATTGTTGGGAACCTTTCTGTCCCTCATACACAGGTCATTTTCACTGTTTCTGTAAATTGGCTAGTTCCCATCTAAATTTGTTTACATTGTAAATTTGTGTAGCTAGAGTTTTAACCTGCTATTTATTCTTTCTTACACTCTCTGCTAAGAAGAGTCCCAGCCAATGATGTTTCATTTCTTTTTAGGGGACCTGGAGAGTTGACGACCTTAAAACTTAAGGTTTGTGAAAACATTCGTAAAGGGTCATTTATTTCCCTTCAGTGGCCAGGAGTGGAGGACTCTGAGTGCTGGAAGCGTGTGGGGTTAAAGGCCTCTTGAACATCAGTGGATGCATATTTCCATTTGCTTTAAAATCACCATTAACCTTTGGCCAGTTTCAGCGTGTTGCTTTGTCCTTCCCAGGAAGAACGCCAAAGCATTTAGGAACACTGGAGAAAGGAGCAGATAGGTCCTTGATGGCTAAGCCCTGCTCAGAACCATGGAATGCAAAAGCTCAGAGCTGATCTGGTTCCCTCCCCATTTTACAGAGGAGAAAGCAATGAATTGCCCAAGACCATGCAGCAACATACAGATCAAATCCAAACTGGATTTAATCCAGAACATGGTCACAGCTCCTGGTTCCCTCCCTCCCTCCCTCCTTCCTCTCTCTTCCCTCCCTTGACCTCTCCCCCACTTCCTTCTTTTTTCCTTTGTTCCTTCCTTCCTTCTCTTATCAAAGATTTCAAGTGTATACACAAGTGGCAAGAATGTCATCATGTACCTCCTTGTGCCCAACACACAGCTTCAGCAACCATCAACTCACGAGGAACTTAT